AAGCGGAAGACAGGAGAGTTTATTCCTCAAAGCCATACTTTGTGCGTCGTTAAGTAATCCCGGCATCATTATGATATTTAACAAGAATGCAGTCCTTTACAAACGAAAAAAGGAATGACCTCTCTCGACCCCTCCCTTCTCCCTTCCCCCCGCCCAAAAAAAGAAAGTACATTTTGCTTTTGTGCGCTTCCTATTGGATCTGCGCCCTGTAGTAGTGCGGGCGACTTAATGCGATTTGCCCATCAAACTTTTGACATTTTATTATTCATTTACTATGCTCAAGCCTCGATGGGGCCAGTTAAACATTCACTTTTCTTTGCCTCCTTTGGGCGGTAGGTAAAATTCCGCTAATTGCGCAGTTTCCATTATAAGTACAAATGTACTTTCGGCCTCCAAATTTCCGTCGAAATAGTGCACATCTATTTTTCTAACTTGGGTCTCTTTATAGAGGTCAAAACTATTAATTGATTATCTAAAGGTCTTTAAGCAGCCTAAGATATGGTTTTTGTTTCACAATAGGCTTACCGGAGCCAGAATTGGATGAGGTGGAGAGTAAGTTGAGTCTACTGAGTTCGTTCGCATGAGGCACGAATTATGCATTATTCTTTCTCCTTCCCTTCTCCTTCACGTTAAACGTAAATGGCATGACTGCACGCATATTTGATATGACAGGTATTGTCTATCTCCCACTTCCTTATCCGCCCGGAATGAAAGGCGCTTTTTGGTGCCACCGAGACTAAAACGCTCAATGTAGGCGACCTCTTCTCAACTAATCAAAACGCGCTCTCTAAATCGCCATTTGGCTATGGAATGCTGAATGCTCCTGGCTGACTTCTGGAATGCAACACGACACATTTTTGAGTCCCTTCTTAACGTTAAATTAAACATCTGCAAAAAAACAATTTGCGGAAACATACACTACTGATTTTTTACCTGAGTACAACGAAAGTCACCAAAAGCAAAATGTTGCATTAACTAAGTTGGCAATAGGAAAGGAGCCTTTTAAAAAGACCGTTTAGTAGCCTCGCCAAGAGCAAACATTTCAAGCTTGTTTGGCCGTATTAGACTAAGACACTCAAGTTCGCCACAATGAGTTGTATGGAGCTTGAAACAGACTTTCGCCTTCATGGATAGAGTGCTGATTTTCTTTTAACGGAAGGGATGTAAACACAACTTCAGAATACAGAGATGGTGATCCAAATAAAGGAGAGTCAAGGGTCTCCACGGATAAAATATTTACATCCCCCGTCACCTATATGTGACTCTTCCAGTTTTACAATCTATGTTTAGCAATACGGCTGCTTCACATTCGTTCTTCAAACACTTTTCCATAATTATTTTATTGCCTCTGTTTGGCTTTATCTTAGGTGGTGAATTAGGGTCCTCTAAGTAGTTCGCCTGTGTGCACGATATTGGGTTCGCGGAATTCTGCACTCGTCTTCAGTATTAGTCTGGAGAAAAATCACCTCACTTTGGCATCAGATGCGCCTTAAATGGTAATCGGTCAAGTGGTGACATAAATTTTGGTTCTATCTTTTACTAGATAATAAAAATGAAACCTAAGCCGGAAGATACAACTTATATGCCTACTTAATTAAAGAACCGACGGCCAAATGCTGCTTAGTTAATACCCTTACTGAATTGGAAAGGCACTTGACCTCCTATCCGCACTTGCGTTTTTAATTCAGAATATTTTTTCTCGAGAAGATTTGTAAACATGAATGATTTTATGCCAGACCCTAAAATAAAATGTGCATAAAACATTCACCTCAGCGGATTCAGGTCTAAACTCTATTTTAAACTTCGCTTCTTAAAAGTTCGGTGCGCACCTCACGGCCACTTTAGTCTAGAGGGTAGGCAATGCTATTATCACGTGAGCGGATGCAGCAAAGTGGGTTGATCGGCAAAGTTTCTTGTGAAGACGAGACGGCCATAAAACCGGTGATACACTCAGGCGCAGTGGGCATGTAAATGGAACAGGAAGTGGAAATGTAGTGCCCTTTTCCATCTTTTAACACACCGTGTCTCACCTTTCCCCCTCCTCTTCTTGTTTTACTGCAAACCGTAACTACGTGTAGTCACTTCGTCTGAAACAGTAATGTTCGGGGAGTAAAATTGGGTTTGGGTAACAAGAAAAGGTTAATCCTATACGCTTCTTCAAATATGACTCAAGTCACCTCCCCGGGAACCGAGCGATCCCAAAAAGAGAAATTGTGAGCTACTTACTCAATTCTGTAGGTAGTTCACCTTATTTTTATTCCATATTTGTAACAGTTGGGTAGTTTTTGATATGTAGATATGATAAGAAATATTTATTTGAATTATTAAGAAATGAAAGATTGGTAGTCTCTAAAGTTGTTTTAAACACCACATCCTTTTGTATATAGCAACTTTCTCTTGTCATTTTAATTATTGTCTCTCATCCTTTAATGTTTTAAAGGTTGTTCGATCACGTGAAAGAGTAATGAAGCTGAATTTGAACCAAAAGCTGGCTTCTGCAAAGTCTGATTTTCTTTAGAGATGGCCTTTGTGCTGGTTAGGAGTCACGCGTTGTTTCGAATTTTTACAGTAACCCTGAGACATTTTTTAGTTTTGAAAAAAATTCACAGCTTTTCCTTACTTACAGTTGTTTCACAAAGTGTTCTGCATATGGTAATTGTTCCGTTCTTTCTAGAAAATAGTTCTTTAGGTTCTTGAAGCCCTTTGACTGTTTCTTTTTTTCACGAATTCTGCGTCTTGATTGTATAATCGTAGTAATGAACCCACTTTTTGCTTACGCAGAACCTTGTCTCCATGCTTAAGCGTGCGCCACTGTACTCTCTTTGAGGTCCTCTGTGCTAGTGGATGTTTATGAGTTCGAGATTTATGTCTTCGGTCATCATCACTCCCTACCACATTCACACACTATCACCACTGTCGTCCGTTGCCTTGGTTGAAATTGTCTGGACTGACCCGTAACTGCTACAATTAGTTATGGCCAGCCCACACTTGACACCTGCCGCTACCACGATGGTGAAGTTGTCGTAAACATGTCAAGCTAAAAGCTGCTATTTTTGTTGGATGCTCGTCTTGCAGAGGCTTAGGAACCTCACGTTTGGAAGGAAATAATCCAAATTATCCTTAGTTTTTGACAGTTAAGCTTCACTACCTTGATTTGAAAGTGGGCTAACTGTTTTAAATTCCCTTTAATAAAAGTGGTAAATTTGAATGGCAGCTAGTACTATCAGATTATGAAGTCTATTTTCCGATTTATATTTAAATCAGGTAGCTGTGTGACGAGAAGTTAAAAAACGCTCTTTTGTTTTAGCTCCACCACCTCTCGTGGCCTTCGCAACTGCAGCAACAGCAACCAATCCCGAAGTCATCGATCAAAAGTTCTCCAAATTTCGTCGATACCTCCACCTTACAGAGTCGGCAAGCCGATGGAGAAAAACGTCCTCTTTATCGTTGTCTTCAGCCTCGATAAGCTTCTCCTTACCTCTCTTCACTTTATGCAATTCTCTCTGGTATTTACTCAATGTTGCCTAATTTGCTGAGCTGATGGAGAGACGGTAGTTCTCCTAAGCGTCAAAATTTTACAGAAAAAATGTATTATTTTTTGTAATACGTCTTTAAGAGGAGGAAAAAGGGGATCCATTGACCACACAGCCACAGAGAGACGTTGAAATGATATTGAAAGGATTCACTGTTAAGCTGGTTTGGATAGGTGCGCTTGTACATAGAAAATAAAAGGAATTCAGGAATGTGGTTTCACAAACACTTCTTAAAAAGGATGAGGCTTTGGTGATATAAATGTGGGCAAAAGGATTGGGTGGTATGGCAGAAGCTTTACCACAACAGCTGCGCTGGTGCTTCCAGTGCTCCAGTCCCAGAACGTTACGCTTCGTGTGGTATAAGTTGATTATTCGGAAAGTGGTAGGCATTCTACACACTAAGTATCCTCAGGACTGGCTCTTGGAGCCGCTGACTTGAAAACACTATGGCAGGCAGCAATCAGCGTTGGAATGTCGGAAATATTCAACTGTGGTTCTCAACCTTACACTGTCTGGCCACTTCTTTTAGTTGATATGAGCGAGTTTGGGTTTTATGCTTTTGTTTATCACTCGGCTGGCCCTGTTGCATGTGCTTTAGCTACAATTTTGGCCTGCCGCTTTGATTGAGAGTGTCTAGATTGAAGTGTGTGCTGATTTGAAAACATCCTGGGTGCCTGATGTCGGATGGATCGCGCCTAACTGTTTGATCAGACCTCAAAAACTTCTGCTTTTACATAAATAAGAAATACATTGAGAAAAGAGAGCACAATTCTTTTGCTAAAATAATAGTTGTTTCATTTCTCATGGCCACTTGTGGCCCCCGAAGCATCTGCCTTCTCTGTATGATACACAAAAGAATCTTGCAATATGCTTGCTTTATTATCATCCTTTAAAGCAAAATTGACGTTAAAACTTAGTAAGAGTACAAAACGATCGCAACATTTAATTATAAGTCATGTTTAACTAGTAAAGTAGGTAGATAAAATCAAATGCCGCTGATGGAACTAAGAAGAACATATTTAAAGTGAGGTACTGCATGCAATAGGAATGGTAGAATGATCAAAATTTTACTATAACTTGCTTCTTTTTCCATGTGAATAATCAAACCGAGCAGTAAATTAATCAGTGATACAATTCCACACTTACTACCAATCAAAACGCTCTGTACAGCGTCCCATTTTATTTACCTACCAATTTATGTACAAATTTTAAAAACTTGAGCTAAATGAAATTTCCCAATGCTTTGTAAATTAAAATAATCACTTTCAAGGACAAAAAAGCATTTTTAATGAAGTGAGCATAAAAAGTGGAAGCAGATCAACAGGCAGCAGCTGTATAATGCTTCGGAATAAACACATGAATTATTCGCACCTGTGTAATTAACATCTCAGTGGTTATTCAGGAAAGCAGACGAGACTGTAAAGGGAAGACTGAAAAGTAGTGCGTTCTCTCCTACGTGAGATTCAATTAGGAAGAGACTGCTGCCAAACTGCGCTAGAATGTCATAAGGAAGGAGTCACGCTGAACCCTCTTGACATAGGGCTGCACAAGTCAAATCCTCCAGTTTTATTGGTTACCTAAATAATTGTGCTATTAACTTCTTTTAAATAAAATTGTTAAATTTTAAAGCTGTTCAAATTTACTCACAGGTTCATTAAGCATGTGGAGCCGCCTTTGAGAATGGCTCATAGTCCAAGTATCTGCCTTTGAATCGGGAATCCAGTGTAATAAGGGAAACGTTCAGATAAAAGTGTCCTGTGAAAATGCACTACTGGTTATGAAAATCAGTAAGGAAAAAAACCATTAACATTTCACTTTTATCATTCCACACTGACCTCCAGGTAGCTCACGTAGTTACCTAATAAATCGTCAAGACTCGTAGGTGCGGACTCGCAGCCGGCCTGACACCATGATGGTGGTAGAACCACGAAGTCAAGTGTCGATAATGCAATCTCGTGAGTCCTTTCGAAAGGCGTGATTAGACGCCTCTACTACGGAGGAAGATCTAGTAGTGACGAACATAAAAGGTTGTATGGCAGCAGGTGCAGACTCGCCGTTAGAGTGACACCAAGGTAGTGGTAGATCCATGGAGAAAAGGACATTTTGTTACACGGGTCATTCGTTTTTTTGTGCATCAATAGGCTTTCATGCGGTTCCATCGCTTCAGCGAGTCGTATTTCCTCACAAGACAGTAGAGAAAGGGAACCCAATTTTTCGCCATGGTGGAATGTCGCCAGTGGTAATGCAACAAAATCTTCATTAGGGTAGAAATGCAGTTTTCAAATTTCGTCAAAGGCTGTTCAATTCGTCCAACAGGAATTTTTAACAAGTTGTCATGACCTCAGATCATGATGCAAGCTTTTTCTTTCTCACGTCCCAGATACAAAGCTCTTCCTGTCGATAGAGGAGTATGTCAAGACTGACAACAGAAGGGTGTTGACTGATGGCAACTGAACACATATCAAGCTCTGCAGGACTGACGGCTGCGAAATGGGACCAGATTTCAACGCATTGAAGACGACCTTCAGATGGGAATCAGGATCGCTATCCATCTGGATCGAGTCCGCTTACTGCGTTCACCAAGGTGGCAAGTTGAGTCACCTTGGAAGAGGAGGAGAAAATTTAAACCAGTACGGAGGAACAACTACTAAGAGTGTCTGAAAAAGTAGTGACCAGTCCAAGAGGACTATGTCAATTGTTCATTCAGAAATTACATTGAAGAGAATCCCTTTTCTACAAAACTCGAACTTTTTTACATTCCAAAGAACTTATTATTTGTTGCCAGAAACGTCTTAAAAGTATTCCAGAACAGTTGACTAGCCCTTCAGTTTATCGTGTGGGTGGCGAAATTCCTAGCCTAGTCCGGCCCGTGGATGGCATTGACGCAAGAAAAACAGCGCCACATTCTTTAATGACTTTTGTGCTTGACCCTCTCAGCATCCAGACTTTATTTTAGAAACTCCACGTCCTTCCAGCTCCTTCGCCAACGCCTCACTCCCTCTAATCTCTGAAAAGGTAAAAAGTGTGCCAGTCACATCATGTGGTAGACAAAAGTTCAAGCTTTTTGATGAGTTATGCGACACGTTAATTATTTTTATGGCCCTAAAAGGCTCTTGAGATATCCACTCAAATACCACATCTAAGTCGGAGAAGAGGACTGTCAAGATATTGGAGTTCGCAATCCAAAAGGTCTATTAAAATCTGTTTCACTGAAATTAAAGTGCATATGTCATATTTTTGCTCCTTTACTTTCCACATTTTCAGGAAAGGTAATGGAGAAATTCCATTTTCAAGGCCCCTTCATCTTCCTGCGGTTGTGTGAACAAACCAAGGGGAAGGTTCCAGTAAAAGGGGAGCTTTGTGCTTAAGGCAAATGGAGGGTGACAAATTGTAAAGAGAGCAAATTGCAATCCTTTTTCCTTTTGCCTCGTTTCCCGCTATATGTGAAAGCATACTCCATCGGTTTAGTAAAAACTGGGATGCAGCTCATTGCATCGGAAGAGGTATCTACCTCGGAAGTCTTGCTGAGGCGGTCCAAAGCAGAAACCTGTCTTTCCCACCTTGAAATCGTTCCTGAGAAATGTATTTAATCGTTCCAGCTGAAAGATTTATTAGTTAGATACTTCCATGATGAGAGATTATTGCTTCACGTGTTCCACAAAACGAACTTGCTGTCGGCCAGAAGCTACCACGACTGGGATCGCCGCTGCCTCCTCCCGTTAGCACCACTCAAAGTGTTCTAAGTACCCGACTTTTTTAATCAGTAAAGATTTCTCTACTTTTGCATCAGAATTGGTTAACTTTACGAAGACATACTTCAGCCAACTGGGAACTGCCACGACCGGGATCGGTGCCGACTGACCGACCGTTTCCTACCACGTTCCACTGTCTCACCTCCATGGTGTCATCTGCTCTACAACCGCGTCGCTATTACACGAAATTTGGTTTAAGATACCCAGGCAGAGTTGCCGACCGGCGTTTTGGATCTGCAACTAGGAGCGGGGATAAGGCCAGCGCGGCACTTACTACTGCGAGTAGTATCATCACAGTGGGATTCGCTTTTGTACTTACGTCGACTCAAATTTACGATTCACGTACAGAGGAGCGAGATGTTGGGATGCTCCAAAGCGGAAGAACTTACTGAGAAAAATATGCCATTAAAACCTCTTTTCCAAGTTAAGTACAGTTTCCTCAATTTTATCTTATTTAATGGTACCTTCCTCGTGTGCCTCCCATCAAGCCATCCCTCTGCTTGCGTCGCCTACTCTTTTGTAGGGCAGATTTAGCTCACTTAAAAGGTAGAGCAGCCATCGCAGAACAAATTTTGCGATTTCTTAAGGCTTATTTTAGTTAAAAATATTTAACCACTCAGGATCCACCGCCTTCCACTTCGACTTACCGAGGAAACTGAACGCCACTTTACCACTTTCTCAAAATTCTGTAAAAAAGGTCTTATTTGTTTATCTAACGCCTAAAACTATTGAATAATAGCTTTTCAGAAAAAAGGATGAATAAAAGATGGTGAAGAACTAGGAGTAATCTTTTTCAATTGCGACCGCAGAGGGGCCACTTGGCAAAAACAATTTCTGGCAAACTATAAGCAAGTTCTCCCCATTGGCTTCCCTTCCAAGAAAATAAAGTTGTTTTCTCAGTCTCGATGCCCAACTTCTTCTTGGTAGCATTTTGAGGTGTCGGTGACAGGGCTGGTGGTGAGCTGCTAAGAGAAACCACAGGAACGCAGGTCCACCCAAGTCTAGCTGAAGGTCATTGGTGCGACCTTAGAATAAAGCCTCTCCGAGACTTGAGGATTAAAAATCTCCTAAAAGAAGTACTTTAGGTAGGGTTTACACATGGTAGAAATGGGTCAGCTTGCGTAGTTTAAAAGGGCAGATTATACAGAGGCCACAGTAGGCATGGCATTAAGGAATATTCTGGATCTTTTGTATCGGAAAGACGAAAATGATTCACTCAGTATTTTTGGGGATTTTACCACTTTTGGCGCGCGCCACTTGCTAGAGGTAGTCGTTTTCCGTGCTAGGTCACTTCAACACGTATTACCCTTTCCTTTAAAAAACCGCCTTTTAGGGCATTTAACCCGACCCCATGGGTCACCTTGTCACGAATGAACACTGCTGATTGGTTGTATCTGTGAAGAAATTTGCTGTGAAAAAACAAAAAATATTTCTGCAAAATTAATTGATTTTCTTAAATAGCATGCAAAAAACTTTTTAGAACTTTATTGAAAAAGTTACTAAGTCATTGCAATGGACTTTAGGAAAGCAATAAAGTGGTGTGTTGAGCTCCCAGAAAGTGTAAAGGTTAAAGTTATTACAAATTTTTGAAAAGATGTTACCTTTTTCAAAACGTATAGTTGAAAATAAAGAAAACTCAGGTTTATTGTAAATAAGAGCTGGGCAGGCTGATGGAAAGAAATTGCTCCACCTAACTAGCACAAATCCAGTAAAGTAGACTCCTGATGATGTGAAGATATGAATGAGTCTGAGGAGGGACCATAAAGGCTGGTGAACTATCGCCCGAAATGACTGCATGGGGTATCTACATCCCTCCGCTCAACACTCCATCTTACCCATCTAAGACACAGGCCAAATCATTCCCACACGCTTATTCTTTGCTGTGTGGTTGATGCAACTCCTCACTATGAATTGTTCACCTGTTGTAGTCCCATAAAGAAACCGTTGAGATTTTAATCATTCCACCCCATTTGGCGGTGTGATAGGCGACAGGTAGTTGAGAATGAGGCAGAACTAGTCGGTCAGTACAGTCAGTTGGCAGAAGGTCCTCTTCTAACAGGACATCATAGGGTTGGAATTCGCACCCCAAACTGGTGCTGGACTTGTTTGTGAGGAGATGAAGGGTGTAGAGTGGTGAGGGAGGGAAAGGTGCTGCCCCACACTCACCACTCACATTTTCTCATATCTCTATTAGAGATAATCATCATACTGACAGCATTAGTCGATGAGACAGGAGATGGAGGAGGGAGTTGGGGAATAGGTGCGAGGCAGAAATGGTGGTGGAGAGGGCTGGGCCGTTTTGGGCTTTTAGGGTCAAAATGTTTGAGTGGAAAACGTGTCTCCTGATAGAGATGGACAAGGGATGATAATGGTGATGCTCCCAGGCACCAAGATACATAAAACCCCTTCTTTGTGATTTGGTTTCGACTATAAATATTGCTCGAACTTACATAAAAGTCATGGACACCATTCAATGAGGGCTCTCAAACCGTTTCAGTTTAATAGCGACGTAGCGTGAATGCCACCCACTGTAGATATCCAACCCGTTAGTTAGACGGGAAGTGTTAACCACTTTAAATTAAATTACTTTATAATTTATGCCGGTCTGAGTGGACATTTTAGGTGGTAACCGGACTTCTCGGGAGAACCTCCTGGCAGTAAGTATTTCCTGGCTAAACGGCTACTTCAACATGATAGCACTTTTACTATCATTACCACGTGTACACAACGCTCAACTTCACAAACGTCACGCAAGTGCTTCTTTGTTTCGAAGGAATTGGGTGATCTTTAACCGCAGGGCGGATGCCGCTGTCCTCCACCTTAAAGGTAACTACACTTAAAATTTGGATTTTGAATGATGGTTAGATCAGCCAGCTTATTTATTTTACTTGGAAGTAGACAAATTAAATGTAGATATCATTGTATCGAACTTTGGTGCAGTGCCTTATTTGTTTGTTTAATTCTCGGTTTTGGTAATGGGCTACTTAGGGGCACCGCCATTGCACCTCCTCTGGGCCATGTAAAAGTGCCCTAACCTTTTCTCTACATCGATTATGCAAAATTTACCCCAGTATCATGCCTGTCCTTGAATTCGTGGAAGGCTCGAGGCCCTACATCGGAGGCGGCGAATAGCAAACCCTATCCGAAACAATTATCCTGATTTCTATTAATGAGTGATAAAACTTGGCGGGGCGGAAGAAGTGTAGATGCTGTGGACGGTCCGCAGCAGAGGGCCTGAAAATGACGCTTGCCTTCGACGACCACCCCAGTCCCACGATATATAGGAATGCTTAAAACACATGAAGCGGAACCAACTGTTAAGCATCCGGAAAAGTTAGCTACACAGTTTTTCACCTTATCTGCATTATGGCATTAAGGAGGAATAGACGCAATGCTGTATCCCTACGAAACTATTTCAAACCCCGTCCTTCATCAAATGACTCAACTTTCAGGCCAGTGTTTCTACGACTAGCGTTGGAAATACGAGACGGCCTGCATATTTTGCCATTCCTCTAAATATGGTTCTCAAATAGGTCGAAACCCCAGATCCAGTAGAATTACTGTTGATATGGCGGTCAAAGATCTTCTCAGTTGCAAGCAAATTCGATGTCGGCGTAGTTGGATAGTGGGTGTTTTTCTTACAGCACCGATTACACTGTGATGGCTGACGTGGGAGTTTGACCGAAAGGAGCGCCAGGGACGATGCTCCAAAGAGGAGAGGGGCTACGCAACACGCTTGCTGTTTATTTAACTCCCGATTTTGTTGAATGGGTCATTTTGGGGCTGCGCCATTGTACGTCTGATAGGCGACCCGGCCTATGGGCCGTGCCAGTAGCCCCATACCCTACTCTACATCAGTAATACGTATTCTGCCCGAGTATTATGTCTCTTCTCGTCTTTAGAGAAGTCTCAGGGCTCTAAAATAGCTCCTTTTATCATTAATTAAGAAAAAAACTGTTTTCTTTCAAATGTAAGAATTAGATCTACGGTATTCATATTCCCTATGGAGAGATCAAATTCCAGTTAACTCCTATTTTAAGATCAAATAGAAGAACATCCAAGCGCAAAACACGCTGGAAATTATTTAGACTTACTGAGATAATTTACTTGGGAAAGTAACTAATTAAAAAAGCTAATAGGAGCAGTGAAGAAAATGGAGGAGTACGGAAACCTCGTAAGAATTTTCAAATTCCTGGCCATTTTGAAAAGAATTTTAGTCCTCTGAGTTTTTTCTGAAGTCGTATGTAGTCACAGTAGCCTAATGAGGGAAGACGGAGAGGTTACCGGTGTGGCTCAAAGGCCATGCTGCCGAGGGAAAGTACAATCTGCGGCGACTCAAGTGCTCCGCGCAATTAATTAAAAGATAATTAAAACAAAGAACCTTATAAAACAGCGGTATGATAGGTGGATCGAATGTTCCGAGTCGCTTCACTACGAATTTACATCTAAGAGATGTAATTCAGTAGCTTGTAATAAACAAATCGAGAGTAATGACATTACATTCCAAAATCTTTAGCCAACGCGGAGTCCATTTGATGTCCTCTGACTCCGCCCACCCCTCCCCCAGACATCAATCCAGAAAGTTGACGTGCGGAGATGAGTGATTTATACACCGGTGGATCATGGGTAGGTCAAGATTACCAGTTTGGCATTGTAGCCAGACTTGAGACATCCGTTGGCAAGGTCATCTACACTGTCTAGCATGAGTGAGGTCACGTCCCGAAAGCCTTTGAGATTATGTCATCCCCTCCTCATGACAAATTTGCGTGCGTGCATGCGTATGTTCAAACCGTAGATGGAGGGCATAGAGGGGAAAAATATTCCATCCTATACTGCCATTTTCCATACAAAGAAATATGGCTCAAGCTTTTGTAATAGGCTGGGACAAAAGTAGCTTTGAAAAGTGGTCAAGTCCATTGGCTCCTACTCTGCTTTGTTCCGCCTGCATTATTTCAACAACGAACCATACCCCTGCAGCAAATGGGGACACAGGGTATTCCAGATCATGGGAGGAACAAAAAAAATAGAATGAAGAAGAGTCAAAGGCCTCATTTTGTCTTCCTAGTTGGACAAAAAAAGTGCAGATTGCCTCCACACTGCGAGAGGAATGGAGGCAGTGGTAGCGCCTGCACTTCCGCAATTTTTTTGTCCTACTCTTAAATAAATCTACCTGAATGTGAGATCTGGAGACTGTGGATTTTAATTATGGAGACACACAAATATACTGCACGGCGATGCTTTATCCCCTACTGGAGGAGGTTTATTCGTTTCAAAAAGTGATTTAGTCTACTTGGTTAGACCATTCAAAACACTGAACCTAGGGAATAATTGAGATATTTGGACAAGAATTTAAGGGTTTACACAGAATACGCGGATACTGGGTGATCTCAACATTGCAGAGCCCAAGATCTCCCTAAATACGAAAGGAAGACATAATACTTGGGCAGAATATGTAGTGCCGATGTATGGAAGGGCCAGGGAGCTGTTGGCATAGTTCAGATAAAAACCACTCCAGTGGAAGTACAAAGGTGGAGCCTACACTACCCGCGAAACCAAAACGAAGAGTTAAACAAATAATCGAAGCTGATCGCTTTCTACCCTCCAGAAGGCCCATCACAACTGCAAGGCAGGAGTACTGGCAAGGACTCATACCTTTGATAAAGGACCGAAAATGCTCTTTTATTTCCAATTTTTTAGTCCTCCTTCGAGACGTAAATACTAGTCTACTGAAGTTGGTAGGATACAGTTGAAATTGTTTTACTGGAGTGCAGTGCCCTTGGGCTGGCATCAGCATCGCCCTTTTAACTCTTGGATACATTTCGCCGGCAGGTAAGAGGAGTTAAATGATTTTTACCCTCAAAAACTTTATCAAACCCAATTAGACCGGGTGATGGGAAAAAGAGCAGTAAAACAGGCCCTTTAGGAAGAATAAGAGGTGAAGTTTATTTAAATCAGCACCAGACCGTCTGGACCTATACCGAATAGGGAAGCAAGAAATGAGCAAACTTCGGGTAGTGTAGACACCTTTGGAGTAGGTAAGCAAGTTGTTTGAGGATCTGCCATTTGGAGGGCACATTAAGCGCATTACTTAGTGGTAGAATAAACTGCTTTGGGATTTACAAAACAAGCCACAAAAGGCAATCAAGAGGAGGAAAAAGCGCTCAAGCGCACAACGAAATGTCGGCAGATTGTGCAGTAAATTTGACTGCTTCGTTCACCCTGAAAGCATGAGGCGGGGAAGGAGCAGAGCGCATAGCCTAACAATGTCATGCCTAATCGTAGGATTGACGTTTACTCGAGATTTTGAAAGTGCGGAGAGAAATGCTTTTCCTTTTTTCTTTTCGTTTGCTATTCTAAACTCCTGGGAGTGATGCTGAGATTTGCTGTAAATAAATAACAGTTCAGACCTTCAAAAGCAGTACTTAAACTATAGTTGTCTGTTAGGCTCTTTATGAATTTGCTGGTTTTAAGAACGCCATGGTGAAGCACCATCGCAATCTGTCAAAATGGAAAATGGCAAACTATTAGCCTTTGTGGAGTCAAATTTAGAGAAAAAGCAATCCAAAAAACCCATTTTAAACAAATTGGAGTATATTTAGGGCCCCGAATTTGTGCTTTTCGGTAATTCAAGCTGCAAATGTTTAGTGATGAGAGGATGTTACAACTATCCACTGTAATACGTTAACTGTTTGTTTAACGCTCGGTTTTGGTGAGGGGCCAATCAGGAGCTCCACTATTGTACTTGTGTAGGGTGGCCTGGCCTCCGGGTCATGGCAGTGACTGCAAAGGCCTACTACACGTTGGCAATACATATTCTGTTCGAGTACTATGTCCATTCCTGCCACATCTACAGGCGCAGATTAATATTTCTCCTTTGACGTCCTAGAAGTACCTTTCCGGAAACTGATATGCCAGACACTAGAAAGTTCCTCGATCGACCGCACTTGGACATAAGCGGAGCACCAAGCTGACACGTATATACGCGCGGTGCCTCCTACCTACTTATACGAGCCGGGAAATAAAGGCGTCCGTATTAAAGTCCTTGATTCCCAATGACTCAAGTTGGAAATTGATGACAACTCAACGGTATCCAGGCTCACGTATATAAACACCGGTTTGTAACACAGATATAAAGAAAATAAGAAAATGGACAAGTGTCCTAAAGCGCTTTTGAGGTACAAAGAATGTTTAAAGCCATTCAGACTCAACCAAATAAGGTTAATTAAAAAGAAAAGAATGAAAATTACATTTGGTCGGCGCAATGCAACGTATTTGAGCTTCACTATTCATGGCCAACTCTGAAACTTTCAGGAGTCAAACTCAAAAAAACGTGCTTGGAATAGCCGCACTGGGCGACAAAGCCCCTTTTTGAAAACACAGCATTCAGTCATTTTAAACAGATTTTATTATGGAAAGAAGAATGGTCGTTTGCTGAAATCGCAAACAGAATTTGCCACGTTTTTATAGACTTCAGGCCTAATAACACAACCCATCTAATTAATCGCCTTTTCGTTTGAATTTATCAATTCATGGATGATGGTAAACAATTTCTCAGGTCCATTTGGTCAAAATGAGTCTACTCCCTTCGAGTAAAAGCAAAAAACAGATAAATGAAACAAAGATATGCGAGACGTTTTAAAAGTATGACTGAAAGAATTGTGTGTGAAAATAACATCCACCCCTATCGATGCATTAAGTGAGGCCCTACGACTGCACATATTTTTTGTCTCATTCCAAAAATCCAACGAAATCTCCCATTTTCCAGCCCCTCTTTTTGGCACGTGTCGATTCCACAAAGTATCATTTTTCTTCGACTTTTGAACTTAATGGGAAGATAAAAATTTGCATTTGCATATATCAGGAGTTCGTAATTTCACGGAGATTCCTCAATTTTGGATAAAATGGGGGAATAATTCAGCAAATTATTCCACCATCGAGAAAAAATTTCACTAGCTGAAAAACATTGCGGCAATAGGCAGGACAAGGGTACAATTCACGAGGGTTGCAGGAACCGGGTGGTTGTGTACCCATTTAACCAAACAGAAATATTGTGCGCTTCCCTACTTCCCTTTATGCGCGATGCAACAATACCCATATAAGTTGCGACCAACCTCAAGGCAGCGGTGAGCTAGCGGCATAATGGTAGTGCCGTCTATTCGTGACAATGCATGCCACAGAGGTGGGTGCGACCCTCGTGCACTCAAGGTTGGACAAGGCCTCACATCGAGGCTTTTTTAATGCCAATCTCTCCTCGCAACAAATCATCCTAAAGGCAATTTGAGGAAGACTAAGAAGTGATTCTTTGCTTCAAGAGAAATAATGAGCATTTGCTAGAGGTCTATTCCGATTCAGCACAATCTGATTTCGCATTCTTAGCGCCCATTGTTCGGAACTCAAAATTGGCGGCTTAACAAAAGTCAACGCCGTTTTAGTAAACACGTCTGTGGAGAAGCTCTGCGGCTATCTTTGGTTATTTACTTGGATTGGATTCGCTTACTGCTCTCATCGACATGACGCCACAGGCCTCTCTAGCTCCGTTATAAAACGTCAATTTTTTGACAGAACTTTACCATGTGTGGCCTTCAAGTGCACATGGCATGAGAGTAAGGGCATGCCATCAAGGCATAGATTGAAGAGAGGGAGTTTGGACAGCCCTCGCAGCTAAATATCCAACTACAACAAGGACAAATCTACTGTACGTGCTTTAATATTTTAACAGCAATAAAGTTAATTAACCCAGAATATAAAAACAATAATTGTGAGCTCAACTGCCGCAACAAATTTGCCGACAGTCCCGTGCTTCGCCAGTTTACACTAAACAGCTGGGTTCGGTGCAAACTAGGACGTTTGGAAATTAGAATTGACTCAAGCAAAACAATATACCGGTTCGAATGCTGAAAAAGCGATCACATTATCGGAAGCAGATAAGCTATTACAGGCTGAACGCCACAAAAATGCACTTTGTACTGGTTTCCCATACAAAGAAGAGCAAGCCTTGAGTTAAGAGGAGGTAAATAACAAAAAAGAAGGCACTTCAAAGGCCATATGGTGTTGTGGGGTAGACAAAGAAAACCTTCGCACTTCCTTACCTATTACTTAGTTATTACGATTTGACTGCAAAATATCTCGACCATATGCCAGCGAGCAATAAAATTGCATAAGAACTCTGCATGGAACTAACGTTTAGGAGGAAGAAGTGGGGCTCAGAGGAAACGGGGTAGAAAAATGAGACGTTCTGACAACAAAATATGATAAAAAAATAAAGTCTCACATTATCTCTAATAGCAGTACACACTTCCAATCCCCTTCGCTGCATGATTCATGACGCCTCCCTGAAAAGTCTGCTACCAAGACCTCAGAGGTGCATCAACCACCACAACCTAATCAAAAATCCACACTCTTAGACAGGATATGTCCTACGTCAAGTTTATTATTTTAAACTCAATTAATCTGTTGACGACAAATACCTCGGTG